AGTTGCCAGAAACTGCACGTTACAGTTTGGTTTCTGTTTAATCACTTCACAAACTATTTCTAAGCTGTTTGGATATCCTGCATGAGGTACAGGGCTTTTATGATGCAATGGAAATCCCTCGACACAGGCCAATCAACAGTGCTTATGCATGTATCTATATGTGGCATGTAACAACCATGGAAGGTCTTTGTATAAGCTAATTTTTCATTTCACTCCTCGGTTTTGTGTACACAAACCTAGCTCCTGAACCTTTTTGTGCGACAGACAATTTCTAACGCATGACAAATCGCAAATATGTGACCCGTTTCCATACACTTTAATGGAAATCTCTGTTTTGTGCAATATCGCGCAACATCTTCAAGAAAAATACAGTAGGTCCAGTTGCCTTGACTGATTTTTTTACAGACATAACAGTCTATTGGCACCGTCAGACATTTGTGGAATAATAGACCCTTTTTTTCTCCCTGTAGAGTAAAGAATGGCACCCGGGGTCACAGTGTTTAACCAGATGAAGTGTTTTCTTTTGTTTTTACTCGTACGTATGACCAGCTTAATGTAAGAGCTCAACAGTCATTGCCTGATAGCAACATCTCATTGATGCTAACAAAACTTTGTGTCCACTGTGCTTACCTAACAAGGGCAATGTGCCAGTTTACATTTCATCAGCCACTTACTAGCCCCTGTACTCCTGTCCTCAGTCTGATTTAGGTTAATTAGCATCCAACTCTCGTGTCATCCAACACAGGATCCTCTTGGCAGTTCTAGTAGTTGGAGATATGAGTGCCTGTGAATTGGCGGAATATCTTTAGTATGTTCATAGGAAAGATAAGCTCTTTAACATTAAGATAGGTGGCTGTTCCCAGACTACCAAATGCTTTTGTTACTCTTGGAGGAAATTGTAGCTGTAATTGTTCCCTCTCATAACATATCGCTTGCATTTGTTTACCCAGAAAATGTCTGTTCTTGAGGCTTTCTGTAGAACATAAAAGCAAAATGTAGTCCAGCTCTATGATGCGGTGTCTACAGCAATTGGTGTAGCTCTGCTGGGAATAGGACATTATATATGCAGTCTGGAGAAGAGGCGCATGCAGTACATGGCTATTTATGGTACTATAAATGGATTCCATGGCGCATAAAAAATTTTTTAAAGAGAATCTAAAAAATATCTAAATACAATGTCTGGAAGTTTGTGATCTGTTTCTCCACTGAATACATGAATGCGCTGCAGTAAAGAAATTCTTTTGTGGATCCTGCCTGTGAATTGAATTAAGCAAGTGCCTAATATATGCAATGTATTTTTCATCAGTGCAGAGACAGCACAAAGATTGGAAAAAGAACTATGTTTGCATTTGCTTGGGCCTATGACAGAGGTAATGGGTGATATTTTTAGAGTTGCTTGGTGTTTATATTAAAAGAACTAATGTACTTTGAAGGTACAGTTCTCATTTAAATGATCATTTCATGAAAACATGCTCTAGAAAATGACAGCTGGAGTCTGAAATCTGGAATTCGGATGTTATGTGGCAACCAGATAACATATTAGAGTTGCCCCAGGTCCATGGCTTCATGTAGGAACATTTTACTTTTTGCAGAATTATGAATTCTTCCAGTGCAAGATAAGTAAAACTGAACAGATCGAGACCATATGTAATAGAGACAGGTGAGCTGGAATTTAAGATGCAGAACTCCAGACTTCCAGAAAAGTAAAGGAAACAGTTGGGTGTTTTTACTTGCCTGATCCACCTTACTTGTCCTTCTGATGTGTTTTTTAAGGTTTAGCACAACAATAGAAACAGTGGTTTCCCTTTTAACTAACAAAGCTTTTTTTTTTTTTCTTCCAGACAAGAACTCACTGGCTTAAATATTGCTGCTTACCTGTCTGGCTTGTATACAGAAACCATCAGCCAAATCATCTCCTTGTTGCCTCATGACACTGGTGGGTAGCCTTATAATGTAACCTAATCATTGTGTTTTATACAAGTCTTGGCTAAAGACCTCTCTGCCTGTAGGGCAGGAATATAGGTGTTGCCATTGCTGAACTGTTTTTTTATCTTCTTTCACAATTAGGTGAGTTACTGACCTATAATAACTATGTACATATCACTTGTTCCAACACCTGATGCGCACATGCTTGCTTCAGGTTAGAAAATGATGACATGGTAAAGCAAGGATGAGGGCTACGGAGCCTGCACCTTCAAAAACAAAGTCATTTATTTGTATCTTCACAGATTCCCTTGTAGATCTATAAATGAATCTGGACGAGGCTCTTACAATACTCTTCTACCTTGATTGGATATAAGACGTTATGCGTGGTTGGCATTGGCCAAATATATGTAGTCTTTGAACAATTGTCAGCTGTAGTCTGCACAAACTAAAATTTTTGGCTCAGGCGGTATCAGGCTGGGTCTTTCAGGGTTTGTTCACACCAAATCCCGACCAGATCTGCATGAGTTTCGCCGTGTTCCGGACTGTTTCTTTTAAAGCCTAAAATGGGCTTTCAGTGCATTCCAGGGCGTTTGCATGCAAATGCATCAAAAACGCATGCAGTTTGGTGCGTTCCAGAGCAATAAAAATAGTGCCTGCTGCAGTTTTTCCACATGCTCTGGAAATGAACACTCTGGTGTGAACTAGAGCCTTGGTTCTCAACTGGTGGGTCGTGACCCAAAAGTGGGTCGCAACCCCGTGTTCAGTGGGTCGCCGCATGCCTTCCACTTTTCTAGGTGAGAGGCTCCTCAGCCTCCCCCTAGCCCCCCTAGCGCAGCACTGTCCATTTTTACATCAAGCAGCCATTCAAAATATGCTGCCCAGCACTAAGGTCTCGTTCACACCTAGGCGTATTGCATATGCACGTCTGTTGCGCGTTTTTTTACCGCGATTCACTGTAAAAAAGACGCGCGATCGTCGCACGTTTCCGAAGGCTACTTGGCTGTATCCCAATGGAAACGCGCAACAAAACGGTACCTGTACCTTTTCAGGCGTGGGCCGTTTTGTAGCGCGTTAGGGACGGGCGGAAATACGCCAAGGTGGGAACGAGACCATTGAATACAATGGGATTTATATTTTTGAGCGTTTTGTAGAGTGTTCGTCGAGCGTAGAACGCGCTACAAAACGTTCAGGTGTGAACGAGGGCTAAGTGTTGACTTGAGGTGGGGTGGGCTGAGGCTATGGCCGCGAAGAAGCTCCATCCATACGTGCATTGCTTATAGCTCCCTCGCATGTCCTGTTGAGATACCTGGACTGGAGTGACATCACATTCTGGCTCCCGGCACCTCTAAAGGCGCACATGTGAGCTGCACAAGCAATGCACATATGGATGGAGCTCCATCACAGCACAGCAGCCCACACTGCCTTCGTTCCATTGCAGTGCGACTTGGGTTGCAACTTAATGACTAAGGACAATTGTGGGTCCTGAGGTTACACAGGTTGAGAACCACTGAACTAGAGCCCAAGATACCATTGGATGCAGTTTTGATGAGTTCTGTAACTGCTCTGCTCTGCTCTGCATCTGCTCCGCACTTTGTGTGAACAAGCTCTCATAGTTGAGGCTGCATATTTATGGCCAAATTTGTTAAAACTGAACTCTGGGCAGTTGTAAAAAAAAACAAATTTATGCAGTAGTGTTCATTAAATGAATAATGAGGGTTTTATAAGTACCTGATTTTTGCCTTTGGTACCAACTTTGGCAGTGGTTGCTTTGTTTGCTTGCTTATAGTTTACATTTAGCAGTATTTTCACCCCTGAAGGTGGTTAGTTTTGTATGCACAGTTCAATTTCCTCCAAGCAACAGCATCTAGTGCTGTTACAGACAGCCTAATGGGGGGATAAAAGACTTGGGGGGGAACAGTAGCAATAGAGGGGCAGGTTTTCTAATCTGCTCAATCAATTGTTGCTCTGAAAAGTGATCAGCTAATGGTTATATGCAGGGCCCATGGGTGATCGTTCCTGCCCTTTGGGTAGTTGAAGTAACTGTACTCTCCTTCCTAACCTTTGGCAAATGCATCTCCGAGGCTCCTCTCTGAATCGTATGGTTACATTGTTCATGATGCCTTAGGCTACACATTATCTTAATGATACTCACTTGTGCACCATCTCCTGCATTTTACGTGTTTCCTATATTCCATTTCCTACATTAGAGACTCTGTAGATATGTAAATGTTTAAAAGAAAACTTAATTTGGATTAAAATACTCAACACCGTTTTAATTGCTGGAGGATTTCCGTTATTTAACAGTGGTAGCTCTCAGTGACAGAAGGGAGCAAAGCCAGTTTCTCCTATGGGAGATGTAGCCGCTGATAACTCAGTGATGTATAAGTAGCCAATGAATAATTTACTTACCTTTATCTACTGATAACTATATGGTTGGGTGGACTAATTAAATGCAACCCTGACTGCTGTGAGAATGTGTCTCTGACTGTTATTGCATCACGCATAATGCTTAGAAAGCAATATAAAAGTTCTACCTCATGCCTTAGTTTTCTGTTGTATTGATATGTAATGTAACAGTATGAAATAACAGAGCCCTGTCGTTAGGAGGAATCCCAACAGCTATGGGGTTCTGTCATTTGATACTGTTATGCACACTCAAATACTAGGAGAACATGCGTGATGTCAGGCAGTTAACATGGAAGTCAGACTTGAGGTTAACCGTGACCAATGACTGTGTAGCGTCAGAATCAAAGTAACTGAAGCTAAATGAAGGATAGAAACATAAAAAAGCCTGTGAGCATGCACAATCACCGTCATTTTAGGATTGAATTTTCAGACACTTGTATAAGCCAAGTTGGAACTCCATTTCTTTAGATTTGCCAGACATATGTCCATACCAGCTCAGCGAGCCTTTCTAAATTCAGCTATTGTGTTTTATGAAGGAAGTGATTTTTCATTTCCATGTATAGGTTATGAAATTGTTCAGCCCATTTATGATTTATGAATGAGACACATCTTATTATCATTTTAAATTTCTCCAAGACCCATCCCATCATCGTTTATGATTCATGAGCTTCATTCCAGTACCGGCTTTGTTTTATTAAAGAGTCCCAGTCTAATTCATGGTTTATTAACGAGCCCTGTCTCTGTAATTTATGGTTTTTAAAGAAAAGCTTCATGGTTCTTGTTATTTTACATGTCTTCTCCAGGAAGCTGTCTACTTGCTTAAAGCTGAACTCCACGATAAACAAATATCTAAACACTTGATACAAATGTAGTTTTAAGATGGCCATACACTGAGCCAATTTCAGCCAGTTTGTTAAGAAGTGGCCGAAATTCGCTCAGTGGGTAGTCTACTCTGCTGCCTCCCACCTAATGTGACTTGAAGGACGCAGGCTGAAAATTGCAGCGGGGCCCAACTGGAATCTGTTAGATTTTTTTCCTTTCAGCCCGCAAGCTGAACAAAAAAAATCTATAGGTTTATGGTCAGCCATACTTGAATCTTGATATGTTTTGTGTATTTTGTTTTTCAGATCTGTGCAGTAATCATATTTTATGATTTTCTTTTATTATTATTCCCAAACAACCAAATGAATTGCTGTGCAACCTCTTGTGTATTTCAGGTACCTCTGAAATGATCTGCCTTCTCCACTGACATGAATGTGAGCGCTAGTGGCCGCTCTGTGAGTTCCACTACCCACAAAGTTTCCCATACCAGGCCCCAATAATGGTTTTGCGCTTTGGCATTACAAAGAACTGTGACACATTTTTGCTCAATGTAGATATTTATGTCTGTTTTAGAGCATGACAAGCTACAGATCCTATCAAAATGATGGAGTGGAGGCCGGGGGCACATCAATGAAAGCTAATGATCTTGTTCGAGGAGCGGACTATTATTCCCAAAGCTTTTGGGGGCAGAACAGCAATGGCATGCAACATGCTGCAGAGGGATCCAGGTTCAGCTCAATTACCCCAGCAATGCCAAAAATGGGGGTACGCGCCAGGATCGCTGACTGGCCTCCCAAAAAGGATACCCAGAAAGAAACAATGACTCCTAGTCCATCACGGGAAATGGAAGGGTCAAATGATTTCCATCCGCAAAGGAGCTTTCCTAATGGGCAATATTTTCAAAGTAATGGTGGTTCCCCAAGATTTAGGGCTCTTCACAGGTTGCCAAGAAAAAGGTCAAAAGATGTTGAGTTCCAAGATGGGTGGCCCCGATCACCAGGCAGGACGTTTATTACACTTCGGAACCGAAGCAACAGTGAGACGACACTTAGCGAGTGTGATGTGGATATTTCTATGGAACCCAGAGGGTCAAAATTCAGCAATGGAATGCCACTGTTCAGAGAGTATGGCAGCACTTCTTCCATCAATGTGCAAGGTGTCTCAGATCAGAGTTTGTATGACATGCTGAAAGATTTAAGAAATGAAAAGCATGACAAAGGCAGCGAATCTCCTAGCCGAAGTAGTGGCCACCTCCATGATGACTCGAGCACAGCTTCTAATCTCCACTTGGTAGGAAGCTCAAGAACAGACCTCCGCAATGGACAGTTTCAGAGAGATGATGGTACCTTAAAGGATAAACAAAAAAAGCGAAACACCAAGGGGGAAACCAATGACTCCTCCATATTTCGCAAACTGAGAAGCAACAAGAATGAAAATGAGTCGGGAAAGTCATTCATGGAGCCAGATGAAAGCTCAAAGTACTGGATTTGCCCAAAGACATTTGCCCATTACGATGTGCAGAGCATGCTATTTGACTATAATGAAGTGGCAGCCAACCGAAACTACGTTGCCCAAAGACGGAACACTACAACAGGGGCCTCTGCTGCATCAGCTGTCTCCCTAGCGGTGTCTAAAGCCTTTGGTATGGGCAGCATGAACCCCAGTTTCACCAGCACGGAAGACCTGAACTTTAAGGAGAACCTGGAGCATGATCTGGGTGACAACAACTGTAATGATCTCCTCCTCAGCTGTCCACATTTTCGTAATGAGACAGGAGGAATGTCTGAACGTAATGTAAGCTTCTCTAGGGCATCTGCAGGGTCCCCAAATGGAAGTGAAGGAGGCTTTCTGGAGCCATCCCTTTCCATGTATTGTACCAACGCCAGCATATCTGTCTTGGAAGTCTCCAAGGAAGTACAGAAGACCCAAGGGAGAATAAAACAGTACAGCATTGAGCATGTGGATTTAGGAGCTCAGTATTATCAAGAGTGTTTCCACAGTAAAGGTAAATTATGAATGTTTTGTTCTCCCGAACCAATAACATGATTGTTTTTTTTTCTATTTCGCCGGGTAAATCTTTTATATTAGGTTAATCTTGCAAATGCAGATGATATATTTTCCCTTTAGCAGATGGCTAGTGTCAGTCTGCTACACCACACAGTTTTGGATGACTAGTTTAATGCTGTGCTGTACAGACACACCCAGATTAATGACTCAGGGGATGGACACCCCCCTCTGCTCTGCTAGTAGAGGCGATGAATATTCAGGCTGAAGGAGCAGTTAGAAAGTGCAGGGCTAATGCTTGAGCTTCTTATGAAATATTCCATTGTGTGCACGGCTCACAGTATTCAAGCATCGTTTATTAAATGTTTGTAAAATAAACATTTTTACAAATAATAAAAATGATGTAAATTAATAATAATAGGCTTATAAACTTTATAAACATGAAACAGATAAGTTGACATAAAACTGCTATTGTTTCCCTTTATAAGTAACCTTTAATGTAAAGGTGAACTAAACTCGTACTAGAGAGCTGGTAAACCATAGCTGCCAAAACCCTGATGGGAAGTGGCGGCTCTTAAAAAGTAACAAATATGCTT